ACGTCACGGCGGGGAAGGCTGTTGGTGATGTCACAGGAGTCAGTGACCCCTGGTGTGGGCTGGGGTTGGGTGGGACAGAGGGGACAGCAGGGGGTCATGGGGTCATACGAGGGGTCATCGCTGGGGTCACCTGTACGGTGGGGTCAGCCTGGAGAGACACAGTGACACCGGTCACCATGGGTCACCACGGGTCACCACGAGTCACCATAGGTCACCATGGGTCACCATGGAGAGACACAGAGTGACACCGGTCACCACGGGTCACCATGGGTCACCATGGAGAGACACAGTGACACCGGTCACCACGGGTCACCACAGGTCACCACAGGTCACCACGGGTGACCATGGGTCACCATGGGTCACCATGGGTCACCATGGAGAGACACAGAGTGACACCGGTCACCATGGGTCAATACAGGTCACCATGGGTCACCACAGGTCACCATGGAGAGACACAGAGCGACACCGGTCACCACGGGTCACCACAGGTCACCACAGGTCACCACGGGTGACCATGGGTCACCATGGGTCACCATGGGTCACCATGGAGAGACACAGAGTGACACCGGTCACCACGGGTCACCATGGGTCACCATGGAGAGACACAGAGTGACACTGCTTACCATGGGTCACCACGGGTCACCACTGGTCACCATGAAGAGACACAGAGTGATACCAGTCACCACAGGTCAGCACAGGTCACCATAGGTCACCATGGGTCACCGTGGGTCACCATGAGTCATCATGGATCAGTGTGGGTCAGCATGGGTCAAGGTGGGTCACCATGGGTCAGCCTGGATCGATGTGGATCAACAGATGGATCAATGTGGGTCAGCAGGGATCAGTGGTCAAGAAGAGTCAGCGTGGGTCACCATGGATGGACAGGAGTCAACCAGTCAGCATGGGTCACCTTGGATGGACATGGGTCATCATGGACCAAGAGGAGTCAGTGTGGGTCAACATGGATTGACAGGTGTCAACAAATCAATGTGGGTCAACAGGGATGGATACTGATCAAAACTGGTCAAGGAGTCAATGTGGGGTCAACATGGATCACCATGGATCAACAGGAGTCAACGAGTCAACATGGGTCACCGTGGATGGACACGGACCATCATGGGCCAGGAGGAATCAACATGGATCACCATGGATTGACAGGAGTCAACGAGTCAACGTGGGTCACCATGGATGACCGTGGTGACCGTCATGGGCCAGGAGGAATCAACATGGATCACCATGGATCAACAGGAGTCAACGAGTCAACATGGGTCAATACAGGGTGGCGTGGATCGGCACAGGTGGACAAGGCTCAGCCAAAATGGGGCGGAACAGAGTGACAGGGCCAATGTGGGTCAACATGGACTGACGGGGATCAACGAGTCAACATGGGCCAACATGGACCGACAGGGGTTAACGAGTTAACGTGGACCAACAGGGATGGAGCCGGACCAAGAGGAGTCAGCGTGGGTCAGCATGGATCAACAGGGTCAACGAGTCAGTGCGGATCAACATGGATGGAGATGGGCCAAGAGGAGTCAACATGGGTCACCATGGATGGACACTAATCGAAATGGGCCAAGAGGAGTCAACGTGGGTCACCGTAGATCAACAGAGTCAATGAGTCAACGTAGGTCAACATGGGCGGCGATGGGCCAAGAGGAGTCAACATGGATCACCATGGATTGACAGGAGTCTACAGGAATCTACATGGGTCAGCATGTGTGGACGTGAACCATCATGCACCAAGAGGAGTCAACGTGGGCCGATATGGATCAGCAGGAGTCCATGAATCAATGTGGATCCACATGGATGGACATGGGCCATCATGGACCAAGAGGAGTCAATATGGGCCAACATGGATCATCATGGACCACAAGGAATCAACATGGATCACCATGGTCAACGTGGGCCACCATGGATGGACGTGGGCCATCATGGGCCAAGAGGAATCAACATGGATAGCCATGGACCGACAGGAGTCAATGAGTCAACGTGGATCAACATGGATGGACATGGAGCAGCATGGGCCAAGAGGAGTCAACATGGATCACCATGGATTGACAGGAGTCAACGAGTCAACGTGGGTCACCATGGATGACCGTGGTGACCGTCATGGGCCAGGAGGAATCAACATGGATCACCATGGATCAACAGGAGTCAACGAGTCAACATGGGTCAATACAGGGTGGCGTGGATCGGCACAGGTGGACAAGGGTCAGCCAAAATGGGGCGGAGCAGAGTGACAGGTCCAACGTGGGTCAACATGGACTGACGGGGGTCAACGAGTCAACATGGGCCAACATGGACCGACAGGGGTTAACGAGTTAACGTGGACCAACATGGATGGAGCCGGACCAAGAGGAGTCAGCGTGGGTCAGCATGGATCAACAGGGTCAACGAGTCAGTGTGGATCAACATGGATGGAGATGGGCCAAGAGGAGTCAATGTGGGTCACCATGGATGGACACTGATCGAAATGGGCCAAGAGGAGTCAACGTGGGTCACTGTAGATCAACAGAGTCAATGAGTCAACGTAGGTCAACATGGGCGGCGATGGGCCAAGAGGAGTCAACATGGATCACCATGGATTGACAGGAGTCTACAGGAATCTACATGGGTCAGCATGTGTGGACGTGAACCATCATGCACCAAGAGGAGTCAACGTGGGCCGATATGGATCAGCAGGAGTCCATGAATCAATGTGGATCCACATGGATGGACATGGGCCATCATGGACCAAGAGGAGTCAATATGGGCCAACATGGATCATCATGGACCACAAGGAATCAGCATGGATCACCATGGTCAACGTGGGCCACCATGGATGGACGTGGGCCATCATGGGCCAAGAGGAGTCAACATGGATCACCATGGATTGACAGGAGTCAACGAGTCAACATGGATCAACACGAATGGATATGGAACATCATGGGCCAAGAGGAGTCAACGTGGGTCAACATGGATGGACATGGAACATCATGGGCCAAGAGGAGTCAACGTGGGTCAACATGGATGGACATGGAACATCATGGGCCAAGAGGAGTCAACGTGGGTCAACATGGATGGACATGGAACATCATGGGCCAAGAGGAGTCAACGTGGATAGCTATGGACCGACAGGGGTCAATGAGTCAACATGGGTCACCATGGATGGAGATGGGCCAAGAGGAGTCAACATGGATCACAATGGATCTACAGGAGTCTACAGTAATCAACATGAGTCCACATGAATGGACATGGACCATCATGGGCCAAGAGGAGTCCACGTGGGCCAACATGGATCAAGATGGACCACAAGGAGTCAACATGGATCACCATGGATCAACAGGAGTCCATGAGTCAAGGTGGGTCCACATGGATGGACTTGGGCCATCATGGGTCCACATGGATGGACATGGGCCATCATGGGCCAAGAGGAGTCAACGTGGATAGCCATGGGTTGACAGGGGTCAATGAGTCAATGTGGGACATCATGGATGGAGATGGGCCAAGAGCAGTCAACGTGGATCACCATGGATCAACAGGAGTCAATGAATCAATGTGGATCAACATGGATGGACACGGACCATCATGGGCCAAGAGGAGTCAATGTGGGCCAACATGGATCAAGATGGACCACAAGGAGTCAACATGGATCACCATGGATCAACAGGAGTCCATGAGTCAAGGTGGGTCCACATGGATGGACTTGGGCCATCATGGGCCTACATGGATGGACATGGGCCATCATGGGCCAACATGGATCGACAGGGTCAACGAGTCAACATGGGTCAACATGGGTGGACACGGATCAAGACGGACCGGGAGGAATCAACGTAGGTCAACATGGATGGACATGGGCCATCATGGATCAAGAGGAGTCTACGTGGGCCAACACGGATCAAGATGGACCACAAGGAATCAACATGGATCACCATGGATTGACAGGAGTCCATGAATCAACGTGGATCAACATGGATGGACATGGAGCACCATGGGCCAAGACGAGTCAAGGTGGGTCACCACGGAGTGACAGGAATCTACAGTAACCAACGTGAGTCCCCATGGATGGACACAGACCATCATGGGCCAAGAGGAGTCCACATGGGCCAACACGGATCAAGATGGACCACAAGGAATCAACATGGATCACCATGGATCAACAGGGTCAACGAGTCAACGTGGGTCACCATGGATGGAGATGGGTGGAGATGGGCCAAGAGGAATCAATGTGGATCGCCATGGGTCGACAGGAGTCGGTGAATCAATGTGGGCCAACATGGCGGAGATGGATCAAGATGGACCAGGAGGAACGAAGGTGGGTCACCGTGGATGGGGATGGACCAAGAGGAGTCCAGGTGGGTCACCGTGGATGGACGCAGACCACCATGGGGTCCCTATGAGGGTGTGTAGGGGGCTCAGCTCTGTGGGGGTCCCCGTGAGGATCCCTGCGGGGTCTGGGTCTGTGGGGACTTTGGGGTCCCTGTAGGGATACTGGGGACATTGGGGTCCCTGTGGGAGGGCCCGTGGGGACCTTTGGAGGCACTGGGGACATTGGGGTCCCCATGGGGATCTCTGTGTGGTCTGTGGGGACATTGGGGGATCCCTTTGGGGACATTGGGATCCTTATGGGGATCCCTGTAGGTCTTTGGGGACATTGGGGTCTGTGGGGGCATTGGGGACGTTGGGGTCCCCGTGATGATCCCTGTGGGGACATTGGGGTTGCTATGGGATACCTGTGGGGTCTGTGGGGACATTGGGGGGGTCCCTCTGGGGACATTGGGGACATCGGGGTCCCCAAGGGGATCCGTAAGGAGCCGCGACCCTGCAGCACCCCCGGCCCGCCAGGGAGCGCCCCTCGCTGCGCGGCCGCTCCCGCGTCTCTATGGCGGCAGAGGGGCGCTCTGGGCTCCTCTCTATGCTCCGCTTCCGGTCCGGTCCGGCGGAAGTGACGTCAGAAAGCGGCGGCGGCGGGAGCCGGAGCGATCCCCTGTCCCCATTGCTGTCCCTGCTGTCCCCCTGTCCCCCTGTCCCCCGCTGTCCCCGCCGCCATGCCGGAGGCCGTGCACTACATCCACCTGCACAACTTCAGCCGCTCGCTGCTGGAGACGCTCAACGGGCAGCGCGTGGCCGGCCACTTCTGCGACGTCACCGTGCGCATCCGCGAGGCCTCGCTGCGCGCCCACCGCTGCGTGCTGGCCGCCGGCAGCCCCTTCTTCCACGACAAGCTGCTGCTGGGCCACTCGGCCATCGAGGTGCCGCCCGTGGTGCCCTCGGCCGCCGTGCGCCAGCTGGTCGAGTTCCTCTACAGCGGCAGCCTGGTGGTGGCCCAGTCCGAGGCGCTGCACATCCTCACGGCCGCCTCCGTGCTGCAGATCAAGACGGTCATCGACGAGTGCACGCAGATCATCTCGCGGGCCCGCGGCCCCGCCGCGCCGCCCGCCGAGCCCGCCGCCGGCCACAGCCGCAAGCAGCGCCAGCCGCTGCGCCTGGCGCCCGCGCAGCTCAAGGAGGAGCGCCCCGACCTGCGCGAGGAGCTGGAGGAGGAGGAGGGTGAGGATGAGGAAGGAGAGGACGAAGGGGGCTCCCAGGAAGGCGTCGTCGCCCCGCCGCCCTTCCCCGGCCCCGAGGCGCCGTTTTTGGGCGGCCCCGAGGCGTTCCCCGAGGCGCTGCTGGCGCCCTGGGACGGCCGCGAGGCGCCGGCCGGGGACGGCTTCGGCTTCGGGGCGCCCCCGGCCCTGCCCTACGAGGGGGGGCTGGAGGGGGGCGCCGTCCCCGTCCCCGCGGCCCCCCCGGCGCCCCCCGGCGTGCCCCAGCGCGGGGCACAGCCCCCCCCGTACCAGTGCGGGCACTGCCAGAAGAGCTTCAGCTCCCGCAAGAACTACACCAAGCACATGTTCATCCACTCAGGTGAGCGGGCACGGGGAGGGGCTCTGGGACACACCTGGGGGGCCTGGGGATACATCTGGGGGTGATGGGACACACCTGGGGGTGCTGGGACACACCTGGGGGGCCTGGGGATACATCTGGGGGTGATGGGACACACCTGGGGGCCCTGGGACACACCTGGGGGCTCTGGGACACACCTGGGGGGCCTGGGACACACCTGGGGGCTCTGGGACACACCTGCATCCCATGGTGACACATGGGTCTCACGGTGACCCTCAGGGTGCCCTGTGTCCATCCGTGCTGGCCTGGGTCAGTCCCTTGTTGTCCTGCCACCTGAGCCCATCGACCACGTTGGCCTGTGCTGGCCCACATAGACCAGTGCTAGCCAGTGCTGGCCCACATTGACCTGTGCTGACCCACATTGACCCATCTTGGTTTGCTGACCCATGTTGACCCTCCCCAACACGTGTTGTTCCCTTTTGACCCATGCTGATCCATTGACTCGTATCGCTCTACGTTGACCCGCGTTGACCCTGGCCAACTGATGCTGGTCCATGTTGACCTACGGTGATCCATGGTGACTGCCCACATGGACCAGCGCTGGCCAGTGCTGGCCCACGTTGGCCTGCAATGACCCACATTGACCTGTGCTGGCCCACATTGACCCATCTTGGTTTGTTGACCCATGTTGACCCTCCCCAACACGTGTTGTTCCCTTTTGACCCATGCTGATCCATTGACTCGTATCGCTCTACGTTGACCCGCGTTGACCCTGGCCAACTGATGCTGGTCCATGTTGACCTACGGTGATCCGTGGTGACCGTGGCAACCATGGTGACCGTGGATCAATCCGTGGTGACTTGTATTGGTCCATCCATGTGGACACACGTGGGTCCATGTTGATCTGTATCAGTCCACGTTGACCCATCTTGACTCGGTTGGCCTGCCTTGACTTGGGTTCATCCTTGTTGACCCATGTTGTCCTGTTCTGGCCCATATTGATCTCTATTGATCCATGTTGGCCAGTATTGATCCATGGTGACCCATCTTGATCAATGTTAGACCATATTGATCCCTGTTGACCTGTGCTGGTCCATCTTGGCACACGTTGACCCATGTTGGCCTACGTTGACCTATGTTGACCCGTGTTGATCCACACTGACCCTCGTTGACCTGTTCCAATCCATGCTGACCCCTGGTGACACACATGGACCTGTACTGATCCATGCTTACCCATGTTGAATTGTGTTGGTTCACATTGACCCACATTGATCCATTTTGGCCCATGTTGACACATGTTGACCCATTTTGGTCCATGTTGACCCATGTTGACCTGTGTTGACCCACATTGACCTAATTTGGCTCACGTTGACCCACATTGATCCATTTTGGCTCATGTTGACCTGTAATGATCCATGTTTAGCCATGTTGATCCATTTTGTCCCATGTTGGCTCATGTTGACCTGTATTGATCCATGTTGATTCACATTGATGCATTTTGGCCCATGTTGACCCACATTGATCCATTTTTGCTCATGCTGACCTGTAATGATCCATGTTTAGCCATGTTGACCTATTTAGCCCCTGTTGACCCACATTGACCCGTTTTGGCCCATGTTGACCTGTATTGATCTGTGTTGACCCATGTTGAGCCATGCTGACCCACACTGATCCATTTTGGCTCATGTTCACCTGTACTGATGCGTGTTGACCCATTTTGGCCCATGTTGACCCACATTGATCCTTTTTGGCCCATGTTCACCTGTATTGATCCATATTGACCCACATTGATCTGTTTTGATCCGTGTTGACCCCTTTTGACCCACACTGACCCTCATCAATCCACACTGACCTGCATCGATGTATGTTGACCTCTATTGATCCATCTTGACCCGTATTGACCCACATTGATCCCTATTGACCGACATTGACCCCCATGGACCTGGATCAATCCACACTGATCAGTACTGACCCCTGCTGACCAGTACTGACCCACACTGACCTTTACTGACCCATGCTGACCTGTACTGACCCCCGATGACCCCGATGACCAGTACTGACCCACTCTGACCTGTAGTGACCCCTGATGACCCACACTGACCAGTACCAACCCACACTGACCCACACTGACCAGTACCAACCCACACTGACCCACACTGACCAGTACTAACCCATGCTGACCCACAATGACCAGACCCACCCCACACTGACCAGTACCAACCCCCACTGACCCATACTGACCCGTACCAGCCCACACTGACTGGTACCAGCCCACGCTGACCCACCGTGACTCCAGTTCCCCCCGTTTCCATCTCCGCAGGCGAGAAGCCCCACCAGTGCTCCATCTGCTGGCGCTCCTTCTCCCTGCGGGACTACCTGCTCAAGCACATGGTGACCCACACGGGCGTGCGCGCCTTCCAGTGCGGCGTCTGCTGCAAGCGCTTCACCCAGAAGAGCTCCCTCAACGTGCACATGCGCACGCACCGCCCCGAGCGCTTCCAGTGCCGCCTCTGCACCAAGGGCTTCTCCCACCGCACCCTCCTGGAGCGCCACGCCGCCACCTCCCACCCCGTGCCACCGCCGGGACCGCCACCGGCGCCGGCACCGGGGCCACAGCCCGGGTTGCCGCTGGGGCCGCCGCCGGGGCCACCGCTGGGGCCACCGCTGGGACCACCACCAGGGCCACCACCTGGGCTGCCGCTGGGGCCACCGCCAGGGCCACCGCCGGGGCCGCCACCTGGGCTGCCACCTGGGCTGCCACCGGGGCCACCGCTGGGACCACCGCCGGGGCCACCACCTGGGCTGCCACCAGGGCCACCGCCCGGGCTGCCGCTGGGGCCACCGCCGGGACCGCCACCGGAGCCTGGACTGGGCACGTGGCCGGGGCCGGACGTGGCGGGCGCCGGCCCCGCTCACACGGCCTGAGGGAGGGTCCCTGCCCCTGGAAGGGCCTTGAGGGTGGGCCCGGGGGCTCCTCAGTGCCCGCGGGTGCGGTGGAGCAGCCGGGGTGAAGCCCGGAGGAAGCGGCGGGGATGTTCTCCGTGGGATTCGGGAGGCTGTGGGGACGTTCCCGGTGACAGCAGGAGGGGAGCAGGGCGCCCCGATGGGAACGTGGGGAACGGCCGGGGCTCCGAGCAGCAGCGGGAGCACGGGGCAAATCCTGCCGGGAGCCGTGCCCAGGCGCCCGGAGGAGGCCGGCGGTGGCCAACGCCGGGAAAAACGGAGCCCGGGAACCCTGGTGGCCCTGGGGGAGGGTGATGATGTCATTGACCTGATGGGACCCATGGAATGTTCTGGAACTGAACGGGACACAGGGATTGGACGAATGGACCACGCCGTGAGTGGCCATGGAGATGCTCAGAGGGCTGGACCATGAGGGTGATGACATCATTGACCTGATGGCACCCCCGGAATGTTCTGGAAATGATCTGGGGACAGGGGTTGGATGGATGGACAGTGAGGGTGATGACGTCATTGACCTGATGGCACCCCCATTGACCCGATGGCACCCCTGGAATGTTCCGGAAATGATCTGGGGACAGGGATTGGATGGATGGACAGTGAGGGTGATGACGTCATTGACCCGATGGCACCCCTGGAATGTTCCGGAAATGATCTGGGGACAGGGATTGGATGGATGGACAGTGAGGGTGATGACGTCATTGACCTGATGGCACCCCCGGAATGTTCTGGCAATGATCTGGGGACAGGGCTTGGATGGATGGACCGTGAGGGTGATGACACCATTGACCTGATAGGACCCCCAGAACGTTCTGGAACTGCTCTGGGCACAGGGGTTGGATGGATGGACCGTGAGTGGCCGTGGAGATGCTCGGAGGGCTGGACCGTGAGAGTGATGACATCATTGACCTGATGGCACCCCCAGGATGTTCTGGAACTGAGCTGGGCACAGGGATTGGACAGATGGACAGTGAGGGTGATGACGTCATTGACCTGATCGCACCCCCGGAATGTTCTGGCAATGATCTGGGGACAGGGCTTGGATGGATGGACCGTGAGGGTGATGACACCATTGACCTGATAGGACCCCCAGAACGTTCTGGAACTGCTCTGGGCACAGGGGTTGGATGGATGGACCGTGAGTGGCCGTGGAGATGCTCGGAGGGCTGGACCGTGAGAGTGATGACATCATTGACCTGATGGCACCCCCAGAACATTCTGGAACTGAGCTGGGCACAGGGATTGGACAGATAGACCGTGAGGGTGATGACGTCATTGACCTGATGGCACCCCCGGAATGTTCTGGCAATGATCTGGGGACAGGGCTTGGATGGATGGACCGTGAGGGTGATGATGTCATTGACCTGATAGGACCCCCAGAACATTCTGGAACTGCTCTGGGCACAGGGATTGGATGGATGGACGATGAGGGTGATGACATCATTGACCTGATGGCACCCCCGGAATGTTCTGGAACTGCTCTGCACACAGGGATTGGATGGATGGACCATGAGAGTGATGACATCATTGATCTGATGGCACCCCCGGAATGTTCTGGAACTGCTCTGAACACAGGGGTTGGATGGATGGACCATGAGGGTGATGATGTCATTGACCTGATGGCACCCCCGGAATGTTCTGGCAATGATCTGGGGACAGGGCTTGGATGGATGGACCGTGGAGATGCTCGGAGGGCCGGACAGAGTTGAGGTGTCCCACCTGGAGAAGGACCCAGGGACACCAAGGGGTGACCCAGGAGCTGCGGAGGGACGTGGGACGAGGCCCTGGAGCGCCAGGCCACGAGGAGCAGTGGGAAAAGGGACAGGAAGGTGGCTTTTGGGGAGAAATCCCTGGGTTTCGGGGCGTTCCGGAGCAGCTGGCTCGGGGAAGGTCCCTCCCCAACCGTTCGAGGCTCTGTGACCCCCCGGGCGGGGATGTCCCCTGCAGGGACACCACAGGGTCCCTCCTGTCCCCCAGACGGTGGCAAAGAACCCGGGGGGTTCAGGGACCCTTGCGGTGCCGTTTTTGCCGTTTTTTACACTAAAACCGATGTCACCTGAGGTGTGTCCCCTGTGCTGTGTCACCTGAGGTGTCACCTGAGGTGTGTCCCCTGTGCTGTGTCCCCTGTGCTGTGTCACCTGTGCTGTGTCCCTGTGATGTCACCTGGTGTGTCCCTGTGGTGTCCCTCTGGTGTCACCCGTGCTGTGTCCCCAAGGCCACCATGCCGTGGTGGCAGCAGCCACAGGCCACGTGCTGTGTCCATCACAAACCCCCCCGAGATCCACACGGGGACACCCGGGGCCACCAGGACACAGCCAGGGGACACTGGGGACAGGGGGGACAGGGGGGACACCGGGGGGACACTGGGGACAGGGGGGACACTGGGGACAGGGGGGACACCGGGGACAGGGGGGACACTGTCCCGCGGCCACCAGCCTCAGCCGTTGGTGCCAGTGCTGCCCAGGGCCCTCCCAGTAACCACCAGTAACTCCCAGTGATCCCAGTAACTCCCAGTGATCAATGATCTGGGGACAGGGCTTGGATGGATGGACCGTGGAGATGCTCGGAGGGCCGGACAGAGTTGAGGTGTCCCACCTGGAGAAGGACCCAGGGACACCAAGGGGTGACCCAGGAGCTGCGGAGGGACGTGGGACGAGGCCCTGGAGCGCCAGGCCACGAGGAGCAGTGGGAAAGGGGACAAGAAGGTGGCTTTTGGGGAGAAATCCCTGGGTTTCGGGGCGTTCCGGAGCAGCTGGCTCGGGGAAGGTCCCTCCCCAACCGTTCGAGGCTCTGTGACCCCCCGGGCGGGGATGTCCCCTGCAGGGACACCACAGGGTCCCTCCTGTCCCCCAGACGGTGACAAAGAACCCGGGGGGTTCAGGGACCCTTGCGGTGCCGTTTTTGCCGTTTTTTACACTAAAACCGATGTCACCTGAGGTGTGTCCCCTGTGCTGTGTCACCTGAGGTGTGTCCCTGTAATGTCACCTGGTGTGTCCCTGTGCTGTCCCTCTGGTGTCCTTCTGCTGTCCCTGTGGTGTCACCCGTGCTGTGTCCCTGTAATGTCACCTGGTGTGTCCCTGGTGTGTCCCTGTGGTGTCACTCGTGCTGTGTCCCCAGGGCCACCACGCCGTGGTGGCAGCAGCCACAGGCCACGTGCTGTGTCCATCACAAACCCCCCCGAGATCCACACGGGGACACCAGGGCCACCAGGACACAGCCAGTAATCCCAGTAACTCCCAGTGATCCCAGTAACTCCCAGTGATCCCAGTAACTCCCAGTGATCCCAGTAATTCCCAGTGACCCCCGTAACCCCCCCATGCTCCCAGTGACCCCAGTGACCCCAGTAACTCCCAGTGACCCCAGTAATCCTCCATGCTCCCGTTAACCCCCAGTGACCCCAGTAACTCCCAGTAACCCCAGTAATTCCCAGTGATCCCAGTAATCCCCCGTGCTCCCGTTAACCCCCAGTGATCCCAGTAACTCCCAGTAACCCCAGTCCCGCCCCGTGTGGCCAGTGGTGCTTTGGGGGTTACTGGGAGCACTGGGTGTTACTGGGAGTAACTGGGATCACTGGAGCTTGCTGGGGTTACTTGGGAGGTACTGGGATTTACTGGGATCACTGGGGGTTACTGGGAACACTGAGAACCTCTGGGAGCACTGGGGTTACTGGGAGCACTGGGGAGGCGCTGGGGGTTACTGGGATCACTGGGAGTTACTGGGAGCACTGGGGGTTACTGGGATCACTGGGAGTTGCTGGGAGCACTGGTGGTCACTGGTGTTTTTGGGATTTACTGGGAATGCTGGGGGTTACTGGGAGCACTGGGGAGGGAGGCACAGGGGGTTCCTGGGGGTTACTGTGAGCTCAGGGTGCACTGGGGAGGCACTGGGGGTTACTGGGAGCACTGGGGTTACTGGGAGCACTGGGTTGTGCAGGACTCTCAGGGTCACTGGGCTTTACTGGGAGCACTGGGGTTACTGGGTTGCTCCAGGGGCTCCATGGGGAAGGGACACCCCTGTCACCACCCAGGGGACCCCACTGTGGCACTGTCCCTCCCTGGGGACACTGACCCTGCTGTGGCACTGTCCCCTCCCTGGGGACACCACTGTCCCCTCTCCCTCCCTGGGGACACTGACCCTGCTGTGGCACTGTCCCTCCCTGGGGACACTGTGACCCTGCTGTGGCACTGTCCCCTCCCTGGGGACACCACTGTCCCCTCTCCTTCCCTGGGGACACTGACCCTGCTGTGGCACTGTCCCCTCCCTGGGGACACCACTGTCCCCTCTCCCTCCCTGGGGACACTGTGACCCTCTGTGGCGCTGTCCGCTCCCTGAGGACACTGTGACCCTGCTGTGGCACTGTCCCCTCCCTGGGGACACCACTGTCCCCTCTCTGGGGGGCTCTGGTGGCTCCAGGACCTCCCTGAGGTGGCCTCAGTGGCCGTGGTGGCCCTGGGGCTCCTTCAGGGGGTGCCCAGCCCCCACCCCGCTGACGAGCCAGCCTTTGGTGACAGTGGAGGTGACAAGGAGGTGACAAGGAGGGCGTGGGGTGACTCTGTCCCCTCTCTGTCCCCCCAGTGTTCGAGTGCCCCGTGTGCCACCAGCAGTGTCCCCTGGGTGACATCATGGAGAACCTCTTCCTGCAGGCCAGCACGGCCGCCACGGCCACCAGCGGGCAGGTACCGCCTCGTCAGCGCTAATTACCGCTAATTAGCACCGACTGGGGCTGAGGGACGTCCCCCCCCAGCGTGTCCCTTGTCCCCAGAGCTGCACCAGCTGCGAGGACAACGCGGCGGCCACCAGCTTCTGCCTGGAGTGCGCCGAGCCGCTGTGTGACACCTGCGTGGAGGCACACCTGAGGGTCAGGTACACCCGGGAGCACAGCGTGCAGCCCCTGGGTGAGTGCTGGCACTGTCACCTGTGTCACCCCCTGTCACCTGTGTCACCCCTGTCACCCCTGTCCCTGTCCCCGTGGCTGTGTGACACCTGCGTGGAGGCACACCTGAGGGTCAGGTACACCCGGGAGCACAGCGTGCAGCCCCTGGGTGAGTGCTGGCACTGTCACCTGTGTCACCCCCTGTCACCCCCTGTCACCTCCCTGGGTGAGTGCTGTCACTGTGTCACCTGTGTTGCCTGTGTCACCTCCTTGTCACCCCTGTCACCCCCTGTCCGTGCCCGTTACCAGGTGCTGACCCTGTCAGCAGATCCACCACCCCATTCCCAGTTTCCCATTCTCCCATTCCCATTTCCCCAACCCCGTGTTCCAGTTCCCATTTCCATTTTCCCACTTTCCCATATTCCCATTGCCCTTACCATCCCCATGTTCCCATTGCCATTCCCCCATTCCCATTCCAATTCCCATTCTCCCATCCCCATCCCCATCCCCATCCCCATGTTCCCATTCACATTCCCCAATCCCCATTCCCATTCCCAATTCCCATTCTCCCATTCCCCCATTCCCATGTTCCCAACCCCATTCTCCCATTCCCATTCCCCCCTCCCCATTCTCCCATTCCCCATTCCCATTCCCCATTCCCCATGTTCCCATTCCCCCATCCCCATTTCCATTCCCTGATCTCCATTCCCATTCCCCCCTCCCCATTCCCCCATTCCCATTCCCCCATCCCCATTCCTATCCCCATCCCCATTCCCCATGTTCCCATTCCCCCATCCCCATTTCCATTCCCTGATCTCCATTCCCATTCCCCCCTCCCCATTCCCCCATTCCCATTCCCCCATCCCCATTCCTATCCCCATCCCCATTCCCCATGTTCCCATTCCCCCATCCCCATTTCCATTCCCTGATCTCCATTCCCATTCCCCCCTCCCCATTCCCCCATTCCCATTCCCCCATCCCCATTCCTATCCCCATCCCCATTCCCCATGTTCCCATTCCCCCATCCCCATTTCCATTCCCTGATCTCCATTCCCATTCCCCCCTCCCCATTCCCATCCCCATTCCCCCATCCCCATTCCCAGTTTCCCAATTCCCCCATTCCCAATTCCCCCGTTCCCTCTCTCCTCAGGCTCTCCCGCCGTGCCCGGTGCCGGTGCCGGTCCGGGGCCGTGCCCGGCGCACCCGCCGCAGCCGCTGTCGCTGTTCTGCAGCGCCTGTGACGCCCTCACGTGCCGCGAGTGTCACCTGGGCCCGCACCGCCAGCACCCGTGAGTGCCCCCTGCGCTCATCAGCGCTAATTAGCGCGGGGCCCGCGTCATTAGTGCTAATTAGCGCCAGGGCAATCAGCCACCGCGCAGGATAGCCGAACGAACGGGTTTAGTGCCAGGGCAGCTGCGCAGCAGGGCCGCCCGTGGAGGTGGCTGTAGTTAATTAATGAGGCTGATTAATTACCGGGAAACACCTAGAGTCGGCCTGCTGGTTAATTACTCCTGTTGATTAACTGCTGGTTTTGTTAATGGTTTTATGACTGAGTTTATTACTCAGTTTATTACTGGGTTTATTATTGAGTTTATTACTGGTTATTACTGATTTTATTACTGATTCTATTATTGATTTAATCACTGATTTCCTTACTGATTTTACTACTAATTCTATTA